GTAAAAGTAAAGGCCCTCCCATTGATCATCGATTTGCTCGAGCGGGCCCAGTAACGTCTCCATTGGAGACTTTGTTGTTACTGTGTTTGGCATATCGAATACGTCACGGGGAGCTTGCCAGGCTCTGCCGTGCGGGCGAGATACTCTCGGTAGCTTGCCAGGCTCTCCGAGAGGGGCGGAGGAATCGAACTCGGGTCGGCCATGTTGTCTGCGTGCAAGGCAAACGCCCTACCGCTGTGCTATCGCTCCAGCCCTATATATATATGTATATATATATATACACACACATATAATTTGTATATATATTTGTATATATATATATACACATACATGATTCATTATAAGATTTTAAGAAATGTAATACTTATTAATGAAATGTATTCTTCTGGAAGTTAAAATAGAATCCTTAAATTGTAAAATACAATAAAGATAATAAATTATCCTAGAGATATACTAGTCAAAAGCAATCCTAATCCTGATGCTTTTTAAAATAAAAATAATAAATATTTTGGTGAAAATGTTATCAAGAATTCACAAGAACATTGACAAGAATACTGGCAAGAATACAGACATATATTGAACATTATGACTAAATACTGTATAGAGTTTTTAACTAAACATTAGTGAAGAGGCTGGAGTGATAGCACAGCGGGTAGGGCGTTTGCCTTGCACATGGATGACCCGGGTTCGATTCCCAGCATCCCATATGGTCCCCTGAGCACCGCCAGAAGTAAATTCCTGAGTGCAGAGCCAGGAGTAACCCCTGTACATCACCAGGTGTGACCCAAAAAGCAAATAAAATAAAATCAAAAGCTAAACATTAGTGAAAAAATTTTATATACCTGATAAACATTATTTACATTTCTTATAAAAATAAAAACTATCATCAAGAGAGTATGGTATATGTAAGATATTAAAAGTATAAGTGATTGTACGAAAACAAGAACTGTCCTCTATTTTCCATTCTGTGTGACATTTTTGTTTAAATATTTGGAAAAAAGAGAACTAATCTTGAGTAACAGTCTCTGGCACCAAGAAAGGAATGAGAGAAACAGTGGTCTTTTCTAAAATGACAAACCAATGTCCTTGGGTTTACAGCCAAATTAACATTGGCAAGTCCTCACATTCCTCAGTACACAATGGATCTTTCATCAATACTGGAAACTGCCTTTGTATGAATGTTTTCAAAGAATGGATGGAATGCTCAGTATTGCAAGCAATCACTGAAGTATTTAAGTAAACAATGAATGAACACCAATTAGTGATGCTTCTCAGATCAGAGATATTAATACTACAAAAGAAAAGACTTAGACCTGTTCTTTCCAGAGTAGTTAAGAAAAATGGATTGTCTCGTCCTTCACACCCTACCGAGGTCATGAGTTGCCCCCCATGAGTGGCTCTCCGGCACGGCCATGGCTTCAGAGGCAAAAGGACTTAGTCCAGAGCCCGGCAGCTTGCAGCAGAAAAGTGAATGGACCATGTGTTAATGTACGGCGCCATGCCTTCCCAGGAGGGAAAGGGTGTTGCTCCCTTCCGCCTTTTTCCCCCCCAGCAGCAAGGTGGCTGCCACCTCAGAGCTTACAGAAAAGCCAGGTATGAGCCAGAGGTGACGGGGCAACTGCAGTCTCACAGAAAGGGGGGCAGTATCAGCTTGTCCTTCAAGCCCTACCGAGGTCACGAGTTGCCCCCAACAAGTGGCTATCAGGCATGGCTATAACATCAGACACACAGAAACCAATCTCGTAATTATCTGGCTCTTTGCAGAAATCCAAAATCATTACATGATTCTCATAACCAGCTATAGAAAACAAAGTATTTCACAATGCCTTTTCAGCAATTTTGATTGTTGGGGGGGGGGGGGAATTCTAAACAATAATGGTGCATCTTTTGTCAAAATAATGAATGTAATCAATGTAGAGAAAAGTTAAGAAGAAATCATCTGCCTCACAGGCATTGGGAGGGTTGAGAGGAGGGTATATTTGGGTTCTTGGTGGTGAAAAATGAGTACTGGTGAAGGGAAAAGTGTTTTACCATTGTATGACCGAGACTTAAACCTGATAGATTTGTAACGTTTCCCACAGTGATTCAATAAATAAATAGAAGAAAAAATTAAAAAATAAATAAAATTATAAAAAAAGAAAAGTAAGGTGGAGTTCATCCCCAATTCAATCAGCTAATCAGTGGCTGAATAAATAGCAGTACTCCTACATAAAAAAAAAGAAAAAGAAAAAAGAAAAACAGATTGTTTCTTCACTGTGGGCATTAGTTTCCAAAATGATCTGCCAACATAACTGTTCAAGTTTCCATCTCTTTGGCCAACAAATGATTTGAAGTCTTATTAGATTCATAATGTCTATTTTCTTGCATATTTCTTTGATTAAATCTAACTTCTTTTCGTGAAGTTATACTCACTCCACAAAAAGAAAACAAAATTGGGGCCAGAGTACAACAGGTAGGACTTTGCAATGCATATAGCAAATATATGCAATGTATATATTCCCATCAACCCCCAGAGTCCCCTGAGCACCACCAGAATTGATCTCTGAACACAAAGCCAGGAGTAAGCCCTGAGAACCATCAGGTGTAACCTCTTTACCAAAATAATAATAATAATAATAATCAACAATAAGAGACTTGATTATGTATGCCATCAACCCATATCCAGATGCAATGGATAACTGAAAAACTGCCTAAATGTATTAAGTGAAAAATGTATATCTCAAAAGTTCATATACAACATGATACCTTTAAAAATATATACACAAAGCCAATTAAAGTGCATATATTCTGAAAAATACAAAGAAATAATAAATAAGACTTCATGGTAATGGCTACTTTAAATTAATGAAGACCAAAGAATAGATTTATGAAAAGAATAATATGGTTAGGTTACTATTAAGGAATTAGCTTTCTTTCTAGGTACTACATATTTAGATGAATATACTGTTTTTGACAACTTGAAAGAAACAGTGGATGAGAGCATGTTATGAATAAAGAATTTCTGAACTTGAAAAGGGACACTAGGAAGTGACATAAAAAGATATTAAAGGAAATGAAAATAAAAATTGTAGCATGTAGATAAAAGCCCAACTCAACAGTCATCTATCCACTAATGTTGTGCTTCTATTTCCCTAATACTTTTTATGGTACTGAACAAAGCAAGGGGGTTTTCAAAAAAAATCAGGCCCACCATTGTAGGATAACAATGTCCTTCCTTCTTTTGTCCTTCCTCAGGTAGCTTAGGTTTGTCAGGTCACACCCATCTAAGAACACTGAACTTGTATTGTAAGCAATGTCCTTTCTGTGTGGACACAGGAAGACAGTTAATATTATGCTTTGTAACTTGGGAGTTGATTGACTCCGAATAATATTTACTCCTAGGCATCTGATTTCTTGACTCAGTTGCCCTTAGTTCCTAGCACCCAAAAAGCAGGGTCCCAACGAGGGACTGAATGGACCCAGGGCAAGCAGTGAGCTACCCTGGCATCGAAATGGGCCAGGCCAAAGAGCCACAATACTCAACTATAAGTTGAGGTCATGATCATGGACAAATGCTGTCATGATCCAAAAGTAAGTAACGACGAGACTAGGACCCTGCTGGAGCTAGGAAGATTAACCTGGCCTGAGGACTGCGAAATGTATAGTGAGATGTTTTCAGGAAGAACCAAACTAAATTTATATCTCTTACTGTGCTCATACAGAATGACATTGCTAGAAATATTAGAAGTAGATTTATTACAACTATTTAAGTAGATTACGAACTGAAGGAAGAACACACCCTTGTTGGGATCCCACCCTTGGGTGGATCTCCTAGTAATCTGAAGTAATCTCTGTAGATGAGATTTTATCCTTGAGTTAATCTCCTGGAGGAGTGGTCTTACCTCTCTTTGTTGATTCGTCAGTATTCAACCCACCTTTATGTCACCACCTTATGTGACTGCTATATAAACTAAGACGTAAGCTCGGAAAGGGGGTCAGAAGTGAGAGAGCTTGGGCTCCAGAGATCCAGAGTCAGAGCCAGAAGGAGAGAGCTTCCAAGACTGGGGCCCAGGAGAGAAGGAGGCAGAGAAAGACAGGAGTGAAGAGGATTGGAATAAACTACTATTGATATAGACCGGCCTGGCCCCCATTTTTTCTTCCATCTGCCCTTGGTCAACAGCTGTTCCGATCCAGGCCACACACAGTGGCTCAAGAGCACCGGACGCAGGCGGTGAAACAGTGCCATCCACCGTCCAGTGAGCCCATGAACATACAACCTTCGGCGTGATAAGATTTTACACACCATCACTAATTCTTCTTTTTATATAGTAGTATCTAAATAGAAAGGGGGAAAGTGTAGCATTTCTGAGTCACCTTCTGACTGAGATGGGCCGAAAATCCCTACAAATCTGAATCAAGTCTGACTCTTATTTATTCATGATTTATTAAATGTTAGCAATATGTCCAAGATCATGATAACCATTAGGATCATTCAAAAGTACAATTAAGATAATCCTAACAAAGACTTGAGTTAAACCATGAAAAACTTCCTAAATAGATGGGTTTCCCAGACAGCCAAAGAATCAACATATTCCTTATAAAGAAGAATCAAAATAACTTCTTAGGATGGATGGGAGTGGAGATTTGAGGCAGAGAGAGAGTAAGGGAACCTTGTTGGAGGGAGACAGATACTCTTGTAGGGGGTGTGGTATTAAAATATTATATTCATGAAACCACTAACACTGACAAGATCGTAAAATTATAAATTGTGGTGACTAACATTTTAAAAAACATTTAAGGAGGGGAAAAAAGAAAAAAATTCTCAGGCCTTTTATCTGGTTATTTATTTACAGAAGCAAACGCAGAAGCAATTTGCTTATAAAGTAAGGTTCTATTTAGCTCCCCTAATTAAAAGATGTCAAATCTCTGAAATAAGAACTGGGGGGTGGCGGGTGGGGGATGGGAGAGACTGCTTCTCTGACAGATGAGATTTCATGAGAGTGTGTTCCGGTTTGTTTTACCTGCTATTTTCAAAAGCAGATGCATGTGGTCTCCTTCTGCCAGTTTTACAAATCCAACTTGACCTCCAAAAGTATCAACCCCTTGAAAAGGCAAAGTCAATTGCTTTCCTTTGAGGATTTCTTCTATGAGCGGTTTTAATTCCAAAAGAGCATCAATACCACTAGTAAGAGATAAAATATTTTCAGTAACATATTAAGCAATAAAATAGTTAAAGGCAAATAAAAAAACATGAAATAATTTTACAAAAGACAATGTTGACATTTGTACAAATTACTCTGAAGGTCAGGATACCTTAAGACACAATTCTATATGGTTAAAATTAAGGTGATATTAATTTCTAAGGGCTGGGTGATAGCACGGCGGGTAGGGAATTTGCCTTGCAAGCGGCCAACCCGGGTTCGATTCTTCCGTCCCACTCAGAGAGCCCAGCAAGCTACCCAGAGTATCCCGACCGCATGGCAGAGCCTGGCAACCTGCCCATGGCATATTCGGTATGCCAAAACAGTAACAAGTCTCACAATGAAGAAGTTACTGGTGCCCACTCGAGCAAATCAATGAGCAATGGGAAGACAGTGCTAAAGTATATTAATTTCTAAACATAAACAATGAAAGAAATGAATTAAATATTAATTTATTTAAATTTTACATTAAAATTTACAAAAATATGAAAGCATATACTATGTTATATAGTTCATGAGGAAATGTTTTTAAGAATTTTCACAGGGGCACACCCAATCTTTACTTGGGTCATGCAGTGCCAAGGGCAAAACTCAGGGAATGACTTGAGCATTATCCCCTGCCCCTCCCTAGAAAAGAAAATTTTTTTTTTTCTTTTTGGTCACACCTGACAGAGCTCAGGGTTTACTCCCAGCAGCACTTAGAAGACCATATGGCACTCTGGGGATCAAATCCAGGCTGGCCATGTGCAGGGTGTGTCCTAAGTGCTGAAGTACCTCGCCAACCACCCTCACTAGAAAAACTGTTAACCAAGAAATACTGCATGGACAAGTAAAAATAATTATTAGTGACATAATCTCCCAAACCCAAAACCTACAAGAAATTATATTATATTATATGAAAAGTGCTGGGTTCTTATTAAAATGCTAATATTTATTTTTATTATTTAATATACTAAAGCTGAAAATCTGTAGTAAAACTCAATATATATATATATATCTTCAAACATAACTGTTACCATAAGATAATTTATTGCAACTTAAAATAAAATACAAGTTTAATTCTCCAACTGCAGCTTATTCAAACTTGTTAACAAAAGTTCAGTCTAGTGTTACTATATGTTATAATACTTTTGCTTATGAAAGCAAATATTTATTATTTATTAAGCAAATTTGAAACATTTTAAAATTAGGATCAATTATTCCCATTCTGAAAAGAACTTTCGCATTAGTAGTTTATTGCAAAAAAAAAAAATTCAAAATATCACTAGAGGGCAGCAATTACTCAAAAAAAAGAAGTGCATGCTCTTACACTATAAAGTGAGCAAGCTATAAAACCCCCCTTCTGGTAAAACACTACTGTCAGTTATTCAGCATGCTATTAATGACAGTGTATTTTAAAATATTTAGGTATTTTCTAGTTCCTTCATATTTTAAAAATAGTCTTTATATATCAAGCATTCTACTCCCTTCATCTTTTTCATACCAAATCTCATTCCTTTGTGAAAAATAATACACAGAACTTAAAAAGAGCTTCAGAAAATGTCCCTTTTTTAACAGACTAAGAATTTACATTCTATTATGACTTTAAAAAATATTCTATTAAATTACCATGAAACAACCATTTACAAAGTTGCCCATGATTGGGTTTCAGTCATGCAATGTTACAACACCCATCCTGTCACCAGTGTACATTTCCCACCACCAATAGACCCAAGTATTCATTGGGCTCAGTGCACTGGGCCCCAAGTTCAAGAGCTTGAGACCCCAAAAACAAAACCACAGTTAATTAAATCACTTTATAAATTATTAAGTTAAATAAATCACTTAGCTATAGGTCTGTTTGTAGATATATCAGTATATCTGTAGGTATTGTTTAACTGAATATCTCCTACTGAACACATTCTAACATAGGCAGGTATACCACTCCTCGAGCAATAATTTATACTGAACTTCCATGGCATGACCCTATAACTGGGGATAGCGGAGTGTACAGATACTACAAGAACAACAGGAGATCAAGAAACCAGAGGAATGTCAGTACTAATAGGAAATAAAGTGCCTGCTAAGTTCCAGATCCTATAAGAGCTCTAACATGTGTTACTACTATTGTTTTCTCTATTCACTTGTAAGTATAAATGATTTTCCAAAAATAAGACAATTAATGAAAGTCATGCCATGATTCAAGAGCCTTAACTATGACTCTTAATTTAAATGTTCAGATTCTCAGAGTACACTTTTATAATTAACACAGGCAAAGAAACAGCGGGTAGGGCATTTGCCTTAGACGCAGCCAACATGGCCGACACAGGTTCGATTCCCAGCATCCCATATAGTCCCCCGAGCACCGCCAGGAGCAATTCCGGAGTGTATGAACCAGGAGTAACCCCTGAGCATCACAGGGTGTGACCCAAAAAGCAAAAAAAAAAGAAAAAAAAAGTAGCACTGTAGGGGCTGGAGCAATAGCACAGTGGGTAGGGTGTCTGCCTTGCATGCAGCCAGCCCAGGTTCGATTCCCAGCATCTCATATGGTCCCCTGAGCACTGCCAGCAGTGATTCCTGAGTGCAGAGCCAGAAGTAACCCCTGTGCATCACCGGGTGTGACCCAAAAAGGAAAAAAAAAAAGTAGCACCATAGCACTATCATACCATTGTTCATCGATGTGCTCAAGCGGGCACCAGTAACATTTCCACTGTGAGACTTGTTACTGTTTTTAGCATATCGAATATGCCTTGGGGAGCTTGCCAGGCTCTGCCGTGGAGGCAGAGTGCTCTCAGCAGCTTGCAGGGCTCTCCAAGAGGGACAGAGGACTTGAACCTGGGTGAGCAGTGTGCAAGGCAAATGTCCTACCCGCTATGCTATTGCTCCAGTCCATCATCACTGGTTGAGAGGAATGAATTTACTATACAACCTCTGGAAGTTTTATTATTTAAGTCAGGCAGTATGAAGAGCAGACACGATTTTTCCCATTTCCCATCTTTGGCAAGAAGCCAGGAAGAGTTCACTGTGTATCTGGAGTGATGTCTGTGACTAGTCTCTACTGTCCTATGAAGGTGGCCATGGGGTTGTCTGGCCTCTGACATTTCACTCCATGGCCTCACGGGTTTCATAGATATTACTGTATGCTGCTTCCACTCACTGATCTGCATGATCTCCTTGACATGAAGAAGCGGGCCCTCCTTGGCATTCAGCGCCTTCTTCAGTTTTTCTTGTTTCTTTTGTTCATCATCACTGTCTGAACTACTCTTTCGATGCGTCGTCTTCTTCTTTTTCTCTTCTTTTAGTTTTTCCTGATGTATCTCCATAAGGGTTTGAGGCTTTTTCACTGATTCTTCTTCAGCTGTACCATTTAAAACATATTCCTCTGAATTAGCAACCTCCTTCCCGGCATCTCTATTACAGTACAAATACTTGAAAAAGGAGTGACAGCACTTGTATCTCCATCTGCCATCTTTCCAGTAAGATCCCCAAATATGAGTGTGGTTGTGGATCTTCACATCTCCTCATACTTGGAGCAGGCAACAGCCCATTCCTGACATTTGATGACAGTCCCATGTCTTGAGTATTCTACATAGACTTCGGTTTGAGCTAAGAGAGTTCTGCTGGAGGGGTAATCAGATGCTCTTGGCCACCATACTTTTCTAAGATGCTTGCTTTCTGCTGCTCTTTGTAGTCTTCTTTTTTTTTTTATTTTTTATTAGTGAAACACCATGAGATATAGTTACAGACTTACAAATTTTTGTGCTTGGGTTTCAGTTATACAATGATCAAGTACCCATCCCTCCACCAGCGCCCATCCTCCACCGCCATGGGTCCCAGCATCCCTCCCACCCCCCATCCCCCCCATCCCACCTTGCCTCTGTGGCAGGGCATTCCCCCTTATTCTCTCTCTCTTCTTTTGGGTCCTGTGTTTTGCAAGAGAGGCATTGAGTGGCAGTCACATTTGGTCTATAGTCTACTTTCAGCATGCTTCTCCCACCCTGGGAGGATCCTCACAACACTATTTATTTGGTGCTCTCTTCTCTATCTGAGCTTCCTTTTCCCCTAGCACATGTGGCTGGCATCCAAGTCATGGAGCAAAATTCCTGGTACTAATCTCAGCCACTCCTGGGTGTTAGTCTCCCATTTTGTTGCTTTATGTTCCCCAGATGAATGCAATCTTTCTGTGTCTATCACACTCTTTCTTACTCATTTCGCTTAACATGATACTTTCCATGTAGTACCACTTGTATGTAAATTTCACGACTTCATCTTTTCTAACAGCTACATAGTACTCCATTGTGTAAATGTACCAAAGTCATCTGTTCTCGGCACTCAGGTTTTTTCCAGATTCTGGCTATTGTAAAGAGTACTGCAATGAACAAACAAGTGCAGACGTCAATTTGACTATACTTTTTTGCCTCTCTGGGATATATTCCCAGGAGTGATATTGCTGGGTCAAATAGGAGATCAAATTCTAATTTTTTGAGAATCGTCCATACTGTTTTCCAAAAGGGTTGGACCAGTCAGCATTCCCACCAGCAGTGAAAGAGGGTCCCTTTCTCGCCACATCCACGCCAGCACAGGTTGCTTTTGTTCTTGTGGATGTGGGCCAGTCTCTGTGGTGTGAAATCATATCTCATTGTGGTTTTGATCTGCATATCTCTGATTAGTGATGTAGAGCATTTTCTCATATGCCTTTTTGCCATTCGTATTTCTCCTTTGAGAAAGTATCTGTTCATTTCCTCGCCCCATTTTTTGATGGGGTTGGGTGCTTTCTTCTTGTGGAGTTCAACCAGTACCTTGTATATCCTTGATATCAACCCCTTGTGGGATGTGTATTCGGCGAATATCCTTTTCCATTCTGTAGACTGTCTTTGTACTTTGGTCATTGCTTCTTTGGAGGTGCAGAAGCTTCTTAGTTTAAGATAGTCCCATTTATCTATCTCTGTTTTCACTTGCTTGGCCAGTGGCGTGATATCTTTGAAGATACCATTAGCTTCAATATCATGGAGGGTTTTGCCAACTTTGTCTTCAATGAACTTTATGGTTTCCGGTCTGATGTTGAGGTCATAAATCCATTTTGAGCTTACTTTTGTGCATGGCGCTAGGCAGAGATCTCAGCCCACTTTTTTGCATGTAGCCATCCAGTTTTGCCAGCACAACTTATTAAAGAGGCTTTCCCTGTGAAGTCTTTTTTGACTCTGAAGGACATACTACAGTTTGAGTTTCGTAGGATCAGCTTATAGATGCACTTCTGATCCTTTGTCAAAGGCTTCCTAAGTAAACAACTGTGTCTGAGCCATTCAAATGGCATCACCCATGTATATAACGTATTGCCTGCACTGTTCACTTTGTCCAGATTCTTTCCTGCACTGGAACAAGGGATTCTCTCTCATTGTTCTGGTCTTGGGATCATAGTATGCAGAATTTGGATCTAAATTCCGCAAATATTTTGCAATATCTTCTCGAATCCTGAGATTCTGGACAGTGATTCGTCTCTTGGAATCAAAGTTCTATCCAGGCATGTCAATGTCATCTGCATATTTATCTTCATCCTCATCTTCACTGTTATGATCCTTTTCTGCCTGAGAATTTGGTTCCTCTTCTCCCCACTAGTGTTTTGGAGAATTAGCCTGTCCCATTGATTTTCCCGAGACTAATTCTTATTGGAGTTTTTGGACTTTCAGTGTTCGCTTTGCTATATCCACTTTGGCATATTCTTCTACAACTTTCGTATGTTCCTCTGGATTGTAGCCATTCCACTAATCCCGCTTTCCATCATAATCAAACATCAACTGAGGGTGAGTATGTTCATCTGGAGCTATATTAATCCCTGTAAATTTTGCTCCAACTTGCCTCGGTCTCTCAAAGCAGTCTTAATTTTTTTTTTTTTGGTGTGTCATGGCCCCACAGTTTTCACGTGCTCCCTTGCAGTATTTGTTAGTTATGGAATTCTCTTTTACACCCCTCTTGTACCATTCTCCAGATAAGCTATAATGCTTCTGTTTCTCTGGCTGTGGTCTCTGGTGCTTTCAAGTAGATCTTTATGATGGATCAATGTACCATGGCACTGAAGATACATAATGAGGAATATGAGGGTTGATGTTTTTTCCTTCATCAACTTCGGCAGGAGCATTACCCAGTTTCTGTTGTTCTTCTAGATCCTTCTTTCTCCAGTCTTCTCTAGAGAGGACTTGTGGAGTTCAACCAGTACCTTGTATATCCCTGATATCAACCCCTTGTCGGATGTGTATTCGGCGAATATCCTTTCCCATTCTATAGACTGTCTTTGTATTTTGGTCACTGTTTCTTTGGAGGTGCAGAAGGTTCTTAGTTTAAGATAGTCCCATTTGTCTATCTCTGTTTTCACTTGCTTGGCCAGTGGCATGACATCTTTGAAGATACCATTAGCTTCAATATCATGGAGGGTTTTGCCAACTTTGTCCTCTAGAGAGGACTGGAGAAAGAAGAATGAGCTTAAAAAAGAAAAAAAAAACCAAGGCAAGCAGGAGGGTGGAAATAATAAAACTTGAAGCAGAAATCAATGAAATGAAAACTAAAAAAAAGAAGTTTTTAAAAAAATCAGTGAAGCCAAGACCTGATTTTTGAAAGAATAAACAAAATTCACAAACCATTAGCAAGATTCTCAAAGCAACAAAAAAGAGAGATAAAAATACTAATATTAAACTAATCAGAAATGAAAGGGGAGACATCATAACAGATACAACAGAAATACAAAGAATCATCAGGATTACTACTAAAATCTTTATGTCAGAAAACAAGAGAACCCAGAGGAAATGGAAAAATGTTTTACTCTGATAATCACTGTCACTGTCCTCCCTATGTTCAACGATTTGCTCGAGCGGGCCCAGTAACATCTCCACTGGAGACTTTGTTGTTACTGTGTTTGGCATATCGAATACATCACGGGTAGCTTGCCAGGCTCTGCCGTGCGGGCGAGATACTCTCAGTAGCTTGCCGGGCTCTCCGAGAGGGGCGGAGGAATCGAACTCGGGTCAGCCATGTTGGTTGCGTGCAAGGCAAACACCCTACCACTGCGCTATTGCTCCAGCCCACTCTGATAATCATCAACACTAATTCAAGAGGAAATAGATCACATGAACTTTGATTACTAACAAAGATACTGAAATGGTAATCAAAAGTCTTCACAAAAACAAAAGCCTGAGTTCAGGTTGGCTAACGAGTAAATTCTTTCAAATCTTTAAAGAAAACCTATTTCTAATCCTCTTCAGGCTCATCCAGAAAGTTGGAGAAACAGGAATCTTCTCAGTTTCTATGAGGCAAATACTACCCTGATAGCAAAAACAGATAGAGACATCATGAAAAAATAAAAAAAGAATGACAGAAGGGTGGGCAGGAGTTTGCCTTGAACTCAGCCAATCGGGGTTCAATCCCTGGCACTCCATTTGGTCCCCCAAGCACCACTAGGAGTGATCCTAAGCACAGAGCCAGGAGTAAGCCCTGAGCACCGTAGGATGTGGCTTCCCCCTCTCACCCCACAAAAAAGAAAAAAACTAGAGACTTAGATCCCTGGTGAATATAGATGCAAAGATCCCCAACAAAACAACAGCAAACCAAATGCAATAATCACTGTCACTGTCACTATCCTCCTGTTGTTCATCGATTTGCTCAAGCGGGCCCAGTAACATTGTGAGACTTGTTGTTACTGTGTTTGGCATACTGAATACATCATGGGTAGTTTGCCAGGCTTTGCCTTGAGGGCGAGATACTCTCGGTAGCTTGCCGGGCTCTCTGAAAGAGGTGGAGGAGTCGAAGTTGGGTCAACTGGGTCGGTTGCATGCAAGGCAAACGCCCAACTCGCTATGCTATTGCTCCAATAATATGTTTTAAAAAAATCATATAGCATTAACAAGAAAGATTTATCCTAGTGATGCAAGGATGGTTTGATATATGTAAGTCAATCGATGTAATATACCATATCAATACAAAAAATAAAAATCATATGATCACATTAGATAGAGAGAAAGCGTATGACAAGATCTAACTCCTACCTATTTATTTATATCAACTAATAACTGAAGTATATTATAATAAAAATATTTCTTTAGAATTTAAATGCCTCTTTGGGTTTTGTTAAATTAACTGAAAGTAGTAATTTTGAAAATTATATTCACAAAAGACCTACTACTCACATGTTTACTTCATCTTCATTTAATAACTGCATTATTAGCAGGGTAATGTGAAAAGAACCATCACCGCTCATTGTTTTGGCTAGTCGTTTGTCTTGTTGTATTATTTCATTTTGTACGATCTTAATTCTTCTTGTAATCTAATCAAGCACACAAAATAAAGATTAGGTAAATAAAATCTCCTTATAACTAAAGGTAAGAAGGGAAATAAGAAACAACCCAAATGAAGACAATGTCAAGATTCTTCAACCAGACAATGCTGAATTGTCTACTTGTTTTCAAATACCATGAACAGATGAATTATAAAGCTTAGTGGGATGTATTAGACTAAAATGATCACAGTGTTTGCCTATCATAAATGCACAGAGCTCAATACCCTTATTTTACAGATTGAGTTACTAGTTGGGAAAACTCTCAATGGCCATGCATCATTTCAGAAACTTGTCCTTCAGTACACAGTGTGATTCACTCGAAGTATGATCTTTTCCTGAAAAATGCTTTATTCTTGCCCCAGAAAGGTCAGCCCAGCAAACATTCCATTTCAGTTGGAAGTAATATTTATTTGTGAATGCATCTGAGAACCTATTCTTCGTGGCCTTTAACATTTTTTTAGGACAGCAATAACTGCAAAAAGAATGACTACTGGGGTGGAAGAGACAGTACAGTGAGTAAGGCACTTGCCCTGTACACAGCCAACCTGGGTTAATACCCGGAATCCCATATGGTCCCCTCAAGCACCACCAGAAGTGATTCCTAAGGGCAGAACTAGAAGTAACCATTGAGCATTTCTGGGTGTGGCCCCATAATAGAAACAAAAATAATAACTACGATCATTTTTCCAAACTTATGAGAAGGGTGATAGCCATAGAAAGTTGGAAAGGATTCCAAATGAATGTTATAGAAAAGTTTCTTTAGTCTACATCAAAGAAGAAATCCTTAGTATACTCTCAGTACTTACATTCCAAAATAGGAAGACAAAAAAATGTCCCGCCTTTTCTTTATTCCATGATACCTAATTCACTTCAACTTCCAAATGGAATTGTACTAGAAAAAGCTTCTATATGAAATAGCAAATACTCAAGAAAAGCAATACCCAAAGAAAGGAGCCTGGTAGGCATCAAAGTCCCAAGGCAGCAGAATTAATCAAAGAAAAGGAAAAGAGAGGCTAGGAATTTTAAAAGTCAGCTACATAAAAAGCAGCAAGATAAGAAAAAAGCTGAATCATGAGAATAGGGAACTATTCTGATCCTAGAGTAACTGTTTTATCCTGAACAATGTTCCCATTATCTATGGAATGTAACTGAAAAATCATGAGATGTTGTCCAGGGGAATCTAATTTCCCACTTACTTTTTATAATAAATCCACATTACCCCAAATAACCTCAAATTCTCTATTCCTTCTTATCTGGAAAAAAGCCACGCAGGAAATGGTATTTTCCTGGTAGATTTATGCAATAAAACCTAACATAACATTTCCCAAGAAAAGATGTTACTTCAATGAAACCAAACAGAAGTATATTGATAGCATTATAAATAAAACACAGCTAACATAATAGTACACAAAGATCTTAAAAGCGTTCATTTCCTTGACTCTATGCTGATAAGCTTTACTTGTAAACTCCTTCAAGGCAATGTCTATTTTCTTTCACTTCCCACTTCATCACAGTGCCTGGTAACAATATCAAAAAGTCTTTAAACAACAGCAGCAATAACTAACCTTTAATGAATGGTCACTAGGTTCTGAGGACTGTGGGTAAGCATTTTACATATATTAGCTCAAAGATTGGTATCATCTCTCCTAAAATAAGGTTGAGACATACACAATAATATAATCCATTTAGTATCATATACCTAAAGCAAACAAACTTGAGAAAATGGAAAATTTTAATGTATGAAAGAAAAAATGAGGATGGTAAATGGAAGATCCTGGAGAGCAGAGGAGGAGGAGACATAGCTAGAAGCAAAAGTTAAGAATTACAAGGAAGTTATTTATCTAAGTTGACGGTGAGAGAGTTAGAGATATGACAAATGCTCAAGCAATGAACATCATGAGTAGAGATGTCCCTTTCAGTGGAAGAGCACTGGCCTTACATGTGTGAGGCCCAAGTCCTGGATTCCAGTTCCACAAAGGAAAAGAAAGAACAGGTCCAGAGAGATTAAACAGTAGATAGGGTGTTTACCTTGCAGGTGGAGAACCTGCATTCAATCATTAGAAACCCGTAGAACTCCTCCCAGCCCAAACAAGCGCTAGCTGAGCACAGAACCAAGAGAAGCCCTGAGAACCAACAGGTACATACCCTTTGCCCCAAAAACAGAAACGTTAAAGGGGAAAACAAAAAGCCGACAACTTTTTCTCTTTTTTTAATCATAATTATTTTCTAAATTGTATTTATTTAATTGAATCACAGTGAGATAGATACACAGTTACAGAGTGATTCATGATTGGACTTCAGTCATATCATGTTCCAACACCTGTCCCTTCACCAGTATTCATTTCCCACCACCAATGTTCCTACTCTCCCTCCTGCCCCGCCCCCATCCCCACTTCTAAGATAGAGATGATTTTTTTACTTTTAGTGAATACTGTATAATGAAACATACAGACCCCCTCCAAAAAAGCCTATAATGTACATCTACAGCAGTTTAAGAAAATTCACATTCATATGGAAAGTTTTGCACCCACTGTTAAGAAAGTAAGTGTTCAAAGTGTAAGAATTCCCAGCAATATAATTACATCACGGGGCTGAAGCAACAGCATAGTGGGTAGGGCATTTGCCTTGCACACGGCCGACCCAGGTTCCATTTCCAGCATCCCATATGGTCCCTGAGCACCGTCAGAAATGATTCCTGAGTGCAGAGCCAGGAGGGAACCCTGAGAATCACAAGGCGTGACCCAAACAGCAAAAAAAAAAAAAAAAAAAATTGCATCACAAATTCTAGCTGGTACAAGAGACAATTCTGGCTTAATTAGTAAGAGAAAAGTAGCATTAGATGAGAACTTTGTTACATAATATAGAACAATCAAATTAATGGGCAGGACTTGACTTGGAAATTAAGTATTAAATCCAGTTCTGCTACACATAAGTCACCTAATCTCAACTAGTCTTAGGATAGATGTAAAACAGGACTAAGAAAATCTGAATCACCATACTTACAGGATTGTGTTAAAGACCATGGAAGACAAGATATAGAGATCTGTGTAAGCCCTATAGCATTTACCTAATAGATGGTAAGCAACATTGTTCATCTTAATAAAATTAGTGGCTGTTTATGCAATGTTACTTCCCAGGGGACATTCTGATTATCACAACTGGGAGACTGCTACAAGTGCCAGTAGGTTAAATATTTTTAAAATTCTGACTATTTTTAGAAATATTTTAGGTTTATTGTAATTCAATAAAATCTTTGTCTTTTTCATTTTTATTTTTAAAGTAATGCTAACAGCAGATAATAGAGAAGCACTTTCACTTACCTTCATTTAAGATATTTCTATTCAGTAATTCAAAATTTCCTAATTCTACTTCTTAAAAGCACGAATTCATATTTCACTAATAAAAAATTTTAAACATTTAATATTTTAAAAATATCAAACTGTGTTTAAATACCAAAGACCCATGTAAGTCTGAATACTTTTTTATTACAACTTGATGCCAAGTAGTAGAGTCCAAAAGTAGAGCAAGTCATTGTGAAAGTTTTAGCTTCTAAAAGCTTGTTTGCAGGTCATTTAATTGGAACTTGGAATATAGTCATCCATTGAAACATTATAAATGCTCTCTTTATCTCCAACCTTCCCACAAGAGCTCATAAATACTTTACAAAGAAAATTAACATAGGATACTTTAAAACAAAAAAAGGCAACATTTAAGAACTATTGTTTCCTAATCTTGTCCTATTTCTAACTCTTCTTCCCATATGTGTATATAAGCACTGTAATACCTTTAAGTACCCTGGGAGGGAAAGATGAAACTATTTTGGTTTGAAGCCACTTGAAACCTGCATTCCCCATTAATGCAGTTCACTCTACTCTCTTTAAAAAAAATCGCCATTGAACCTGTACTGTAAAGTCCTTATTTGTGGCATTACATTTATTATTTGTTTAATGCTCTAGTAGTAACTTGGCATGCCAGAAAAAAAAAAAACGTTGGTAATAAACAGAGAGATATATTATTGTCCAGATGCTGTTCTAGAAATTGAAAAAACATTGTAGGACAGAACAACCAGTATCAAACTGAACAGCTGACAAATAACAAAAGGAAAGCCAAACACAGTAACAACAAGTCTCATGATGGAGACATTACTGGGCCCACTCGAGCAAATCGATGAACAACGGGAGGACCGTGACTGTGACCATGATGAAAGTCTCCAAGGGCGTGGAGGGGTGGACCTACTCGGGTCACCAGAGAAAAGGTTTAAGTGAATATTTCAGTATTACGCCAATAAAGAGAAGAAAGAATATTCCCTGCAAAGAAGTTTCTATCTCTGACAGAGGGAATCTGCTAAATTCAAAGAATACAAGAGAGGGGTCAAGAGATAGTAGTATGGACCCAGGTTTGAATCTCACCACATGGTCCCCTGAGCATCACTGGGTGGCTCCCAGCACTGCAGTTAATCCTGGCACTATAGGGTCCATGTATCCATAGGACCTTGCATTAAACTACCAGTCAGTGTAGAATAATAATAATAATAATAAAAATATAACATGAAACTAATACCCAGGGACAGTAGAAACTTGGGAAAGGAGAATTAGTCTACTTTGGAAGCCTGCCTCAAGTGCGAGGAGAGAAGGCAATTGGGATAGAGAAGGGACCATTATGATAAAGATAGATGGAAATGATCATGCTGGATAGGAACTGCATGTAAGAAGTAGGCAAAGGAACAAACACAGAAGGAGAGGTGGGGTGGGGGAGGAGAGGAAAAAGGAGAGGGAGAGGGAAGAAAAGTGTCTGCCATGGAACCACAAAGGCGGGGGGGGGGGGGGGACAGTGGATGACGGGAGGGAAACAGGGATAACTAGTGCTGGAAATGGACACTGGTGAAGGGATGGGTGTTGGATTGCTGTATGACTGAAACCTGATTATGAACAGCTTTGTAGCTATGTATCTCACAGTGACTCAATTAAAAAATAAAATAGTTTTAAATAAAATAGAATACTAAATAGACATAACAAAGAAAATCAGTCAAGGGGCCCCTGGACCTCTTGAGAACAGCACTGGAACAACTCCCCACCCCTCAAAAAATAAGAATGGGAAGGTCAGAGACTCAGTAGAAGAAACAAGGGCTCCATGGGGTTATGTTAGACTGCAGAACCTTAAAAAACAGTATAAATCTTTTACGTTATCCTAATATCAATAGCAAAAATACTGAAACTATGACTAGACAGATGAAAAGTCCAGATTTTAATTTTTAAAAATGATCATCATCTCCATTTTCACCAGAAGACACTGAAACTTTAGAATTTAAATAAGCTGTCCTACACATTATAAACTGAGTGGACTTTGTGACCCTGCCACTCTTCTGACAAGGTCCACTGGACTCCAAAGTCTGAATCTCCCCACCTTCTAGACAACTTCCCAGAAGCAAAGAAGCAGAATTATGGCTGTTACAGAATAAATACTAAGAGCTGTAGATAATTCTCCCAGTTCCTTCCTCCCACAACCATGGGACCCAAAAAGCCTGAGCTTAGTGAATGAAGGAGAGGACTTCTCTAAACTGTCTCCTTCTGCACGTTTCCTATCCAAAGAAATAGGGGAGAGAAGCCAGAACAAAGCTAGAAGTCATGGCAGAGCAGCTGTTGAGACTACCATAAAAGCCAGGAGCAGAGGTGTGAAGAAAGAACTAGAAAACAGAATGTCTAATGAACTCAGTGACAGAAGTCTTTACTGAACATCTATACTGCTGTATTCTAGTGAAGCAATACCTAAGCAACAAATCACAATATGGTAACTAGAGTCTCCTCTGATGACAAATTGTGTATTCTTGGAAAAGTCCCTTCTATATACCACTCAGTTTCCTAGGACCATGCTTCTGAGTGCTCATTTGCTCTGTAATCCCCAGATGCGCACATAATCCAAGATTGCAAAGAAAATCTTCCAAGCAACTCACCAGTATTGTAATATAGTACACAACTGATGACTATAGTAAACTTCATATTGCCTAAACATTTTTGTTTTGTTTTGCTTTTTATCTGTTTGTTTTGGGGGTTTATGTCTGATGGTGCTCAGAACTAACTCCTGGTTCTGAGTTCAGGGATCCCTCCCTTCTGGAGGGGCTTTCGGACCATGTATGATTCAGGAAACAAACCTGGGTCAGCAACATGCAAAGCAAGTGTCCTATATGCTGTGTGTGTGTGTGTATATATATACATATATATATACATATACATATATACATATATATACACAATTATATATATAATTATATCTCAGGATATAATTCTTTGTACTATTACACCAACCCTCACCTATACATTTTGACTTTTCTTTTTCTTGAATCACCATGAGATACACAGTTAAAGTTGTTCATGCTTAAGTTTCAGTCAGACAATATTACAACACCCATCTCAATGCCAGTGTATATTTCCCACCACCAATGTCCCCAGATTCCCTCCCAATTCCCACCTCACACACCTCTCCCTCCCTCCCTCCCTTTTTTTCCCTTCCCCCCGCCCCTCTCTCTCAGGCACTGTGGTTTCCAATTCTGTTACTGAATCATCTACAAATTTTTAAGGTCTTGCTATTAACTAATATGTACTAGTAAACTCAAAATGATTCCTCAATCCACACATTTCTATAAAATCTGATATAGCTATACAGTCCTTTTATGCATCTTCTCTCCTCTTCTTTAAACTGCATCTAAGTGACTAGCTATTTCTGAGACTACCCCATTAGAATATTTTTTCTTTCTTATTGATATGAGCTCAATATTATTTGATTTTTAATTCATTATCATTCCCTAGAAACATCCTAGTTAAATAGAAGAAGCAGCAGACAAAATCTATTTTATTTTATTAAATGCTGCACAGCAGATAGGGCGTTTGCCTTGGATGCGACTGACCCGGGTTCGATTCCTCTGTCCCTCTCGGAGAGCCCAGGAAGCTACAGAGAATATCCCACCCGCACGGCAGAGCCTGGCAAGCTCCCTGTGGCGTATTCAATATGCCAAAAACAGTAACAAGTCTCACAATGGAGATGTTATGAGTACCTGCTCAAGCAAATCGATGAACAATGGGAGGACAGTGCTACAGTGCTACAGAAATATTTTTATTACCAAGTTAAGCAGACATTCTGGTCTAGCTCTTACATTAGACCAAGATGTAAAATCAGTCTTCACGTGAGGTGTTCATTTGTGAAGCATTTTAATTCTTACCTCACTTTGCTCTAGCAGCCTTAATTTACTATTGTAGTTTCCTCTCTCATCAAAGGGTTTCTTAATATTACGAACTCAGTATTCCCATTTTCTATTATTCAATAATTATTCATGTTTAAATAGATTTCTACTAAGTTTATCATTCAATACTAAGTTGGTATAACAACTATTTTGAAAGAAATTATATCTCCATTTACTTTCCCAACATAAGTAAGGATTCTCTAGAAATCTGGTCACTGCGTGAGTCCTAAAAGTTCTCCTCCTAGAATAAACAAACTCTTATACAAAATGTTGACACACCATCTAGCAACAGTTTTTCCAGGTTTCTTTTTCAATCATGGTTTAAATACGGTTGTTTAAGTTTTTCAAAATTATTATATATTTTCTATTAAATAAGACTTTATAGCCCAGCTAAAATTCCACCAAGCATTCTCGAAAGCTAAGAGCAAATGGGATTAACAAGCATTTGGTATGCTTTAAACCTGCTGTAGAAAAAAACTGAATAATTAAGTAATTTTGAAGAAAAAAGCACCTCTTTGTTGGTGATTGGAATGGAGAGAAAATAGTTTGGTTGATAATTCTTTTTTTTCTTCTTTTTCTTATCTTTATTGATACCTTCATTTTCTTCATTTCTCTCCAAATTTATTTTCTGTTCATCAGTGGCTAAAGAGACAAAAAATCACACAACAGTATGTATAATATATTCAAATAAATACAATATAATCAGAAAAAAGAACTATATAAACAGCAACCATTCATACTTCATAATTATTTCTAACAAACTAAAAATAGGAATAAGCAAACTCTTATTTAAAACACCTCAAGGCAAATATTTTAGGGTTGAAATTCATAAGGTCCTCAACACAGAATGTTCTCTCTCATTTGTGGGATATAAAGAAACATAATTATGAAATAATAATATCCAAAGACAACGAAAACAAAGAACACGAAAACTCGTATTCGTATTCATGCCATTCAAGGGGGCTGGGGGATAGGACAGAGTGGAGGTGTGAGCGGGGAGGTGGGGCAACTCGGGCAATGTCTATGGTAGAGGGAAGCATTCAACCAGGAGGAGGAAGTGGTCTGAAGTTGGTAATCTGTTATGTCTGAAACCCTGTCAGTAATGACTATAGACCACAGTGTAAAGCATCGCCTCTCCTAGAGGCAAACTGGTGGGTAGAAGTGAACACTGATGAAGGAATCAGTGTTGAAACACTATATGCAGAATATTTTATTTCTAATATAGTACGCTTACATAGTCTAACATGAATTATATTCTAAAATTCAACTCTAATGTAATAATCGAGCACATTTTATATTCTAGCATAACTCTAGAAAATAGTCTCTTCTCTGAAAGTAGCAAAGATTTTAAAAACTTCAGCCAACTATACCACATGTCACTAATCGTGATAGTAATCCCACATGACTGTAACTGAGACGATAAACATCTAGGGAAGAGTTTTCTTACTAGTAAGGATTCTGCAAGGAATTTGTTAGTATTACTGTCCTAATTCCCTGACCACATTTTTTATCAGCAAGAATTTCTTGGCATTTAATTCACAATTTCCACCTACCAAAGGAAACTGAAAGAACCAAAGGCAACAACCAGCAAATTGATAATTTTAAGGCTGTTGTCTACCACAGAACCAGTGGACAAATGAAATTTCCTTGTTACACAATAAAATAAAAAGCCACACTAGATAAACTTATGCCACAAACTGTATTTCTATAGACATAAATTATTACTTCCATTTTGAAGTTCACTTACAAAATTCCAAGTTTTGTACATTTCAATATTTTAAAAAATTCCAAAATATTGTAATACTGCAAAAAAGTAGTTAGCACCCGCTGGCTAGCAAAGAATTTTACCCTTTTTCCTTGGCATTTAAGTAAATTTCAGAAGCTGCCCCTAAATAACAAATATGTTTCAAATATTTGTAAGACGCATCTGCACACTGTACTTCTAATTGTTTCATATACACATTCTCCCATTTGATCTAAACAGATATGGTATGAGGCAAACAGAGGGAATACCTGTTTTTCACAGTGGAGGTAGACCCGTTCACATACATTAAGTGCTCAAGGTCTCCCCAGCAGAGAATGATACAACTGAAACCTAATACACACATATTCTGCCTTTCTCACAACATACTGATACTGTCTATAAGTCAGTGCTAAGAAACTGAGACATATCACCCCCAAAAAGTGGATTTGGTATATTTGATAGTTCAGAGGTTAGACCAATATATGAAGATTTCTAACTCATAGTTTGAACTACTAAAAAGAGAGATAAGATGCTAGACAGTAGAGGGGGGGAAAGGACTACTGTGGATTGACCTAAGCCTCTAGCAGATAACATCACTTCTTCAGTAAAAAATCTATAAATGCTACACAGGAAAGATTCTATTCATATAGGCCATTCTCTGAAGCAGCAGCTACTATTATCAGAGCAGGAATGGCTGCAGACTCAGAAGGAGTCTTTCTGGTCACAGTGGTCATTTTTTCCTCATCAGTGAAGATCTAAAATTATAGTAGCTTCAGAAATATACTTTGGTTTATGAAAGTCTAATGCCATCTCACTGTCAATGCCTCGCTGACATTACTTACTCGTATAAATAGCACAGCTGGTAGGGCATTTGCCTTGCACATGGCCAGCCGAGCCCACCCAAGTTCAATTCCTCTGCCCCTCTAAGAGATCCCAGCAAGCTACGAGAGTATCTTGCCCACATGGCAAAGCGTAGCAAGCTACCCGTGACGTATTTGATAAGCCAAACACAGTAACAAGTGTCACAATGGAGACATTACTGGGCCCACTTGAGAAAATCGATGAACAACGGGAGGACAGTGACAGTGACAGATATTAGATATAATATAATGTGTATAAGTCAGAAGTACCTTCAAGTGGAAAGGTTAAATTTCATCTCTTGTTCCTGATTCAGGAACATTCCAATAGGAATAACTCAGAGACAGAAATAGGGTTACGTTAGAATATAAAATGTGTTCAAATATTACATTAGAGTTAAGTTTTAGAATATAATTCATGTTAGACTACGTAAGCATACTATATTAGAAATAAAATATTCTGCATATAATGTTTCAACACTGATCCCTTCATGAGTGTTCACTTCTACCCACCAGTTTGCCTCTAAGAGAGGCGATGCTTTACACATTTGTATTAGTTACCCAAGTGGACTTTCCAATGGGATAACCTCATAAAGCATAACCAATCAGCTAGCAGAAATGACTAAGGAGCAGGGAAGCATAATGCGTATAAATCCAGGTCACTGTATAGAAAGGGGGAAGATGGACAAGAGCAAGCAAAAGAAAGCAAAACAGTGATAAAGAGAAAAGGAATGGTGATCAAGGTTGCTATCTCAGACCCCGGGGCTTCTGTTTCTTGGCTCTTGCTGTCTCTGGAACTTATCTAAGTTAGCCATAGACCTATAAAATAAAAGAACTGTAACTCTGAAAGTATGTGGTGGATGGTGTACTACTCTTACATGTAATCCACAAGAACCTAAAGCTAGGAGTATTCACTGTTACTCCTCCACAGATGACTTTTCCAAATATCCGTTTTCATCAAAGAAATAAGAAAATCTGAAATCAAACATCCCATAACTAGTTCCTTTCAACTGTATTTTGTTTGTTTATTTACTTCTGAGATCTAATCATCCACCCACTTCAAAAACAGATGGAATGAGAAAATTTCTTATGGAGTCTCGAGTTACAGAACCCCAGTTAGGTATGTCCATAAAAGAAAGGCACAAAGTATGCAATTAATAAACATTTCTGCAAGACATTGGTGATTTTCATAATATTCCTATTAATACAGCATACCAACAAGGATAATGGGCAAATCTATAACATTTCATTGTAGGTAACCCCAAGTATCACATACAGTATTGCTTTTGGAATGAACATGAAGTTCAAATTAAGACATCCAGCTTATTCCAATCAAATGAGCCCCGGTTCTCTAAATCTGTGAACAGGGTTATCAAACTGAATGGCTCTAATAAAACAAGCATATTCAACTACATTTTCAACACCAGTCTACTAAACAACATGAGAATAGGGTTAATGACTGTCTTGTTACTGATGTCTTTTCAAATATCCAACAAAATGAGTTGGCTCTTTTCAAGTGGCAAGTAAACATTTTGTAGATGAATTACATTCAGAAATTAGCAATGGTCCCAGAATAACTGAAGAAAAGTTAAAATCTGTAGAATTATCTTTCATGAAGTGGCTTGTAACATATAGAATGATCTGTCCCTATATTCCGTGGAATTTGTCTTCTATCTTCTATTAGCTGTGAGAACTGACACAACAGACTATCAACAGTTAACTATTAACAAATAAAACTAATAAAAAATACAACTTAAAGTAAATAGGAAAATATGTATTTCACTAAATTTACTACTCAACATTTTATTAGTGACGTACTTACATCGACAGTCATCTTCAATAGCTATAGTGGCAAATGGTATATCTACCAGAGAACTCGGAGTATCAGATTCAAGGTCGTCTGACATTTTCTCTTCTCTTGACACATTTTCACATTCATTGCAATCCATTTCTCCTTTAATATCACAAAAAGGAAAAAGTGCATTATTTTTAACTGACATCTTAAACTAAAACTACTCAACTAAATTTAATATATATTATCATTTGTTAAAGAATAACTTGGGGCTGGAGCAATAGTACAGCAGGTAGGATATTTGCCTTGCAGACGGCCGACCCAGGTTCAATTCCCAGCATCCCATATGGTCCCCTGAGCACCACCAGGGGTAACTCCTGAGTGCAGAGCCAGGAGTAGGCCCTGTTCATCGCCGAGTATGACCCCCCCCCAAAAAAAAGAATAGCACAACTTGCACTTAAATAGATTATAAGGATTTTACATGAATTTTGACTATACCACATTCTCATTTTATAATTTAATTATTTTAAGAGACACTTGAACAAACAGGCTGTTCGGGTCAATGCTCACACCCTAAGATATGGTGCTGTGGGCTAGCAGAGCTACACCTGGTGGGGTGTGTGTGGGTGGGGGTGAAGGTACATGATGCCACAGAACTCTTGCTCCTGCTAAGGGGGTTAGAGATACCCTCCTAACCACTGACTGAGCTCTCTCTCTTCCAGTCTATAACTGCATTTTAAAATTAAACACCTATAATAATTTTACAAAGCACAGTGCTAAGTGTGAAAGCTCAACCTCTTTTTGAACTTTCTTAACTTAAAACTATGTTTTATCACGTATCTTTTGAAAACAAACCAACAATTTGTCAGTCTACTTCAAGTGTATTTTCAACAGTATTGTTTATATATCACATATATTCTCATTCGTACATTCTGACTTTTACTTCACTAGAAAATTTTTTTCTCTCCCTTATTATTTTATTAAGAATTCAGCTAAAAAACGCATAACTAAATATGCTGTGCTTCAGAAATTCAATAATTAAGAATCAAAGATTTTACCATTTTTCTGACAGCTCTCCCCTAGGCATATGCTAACATAAAATCGTATTTCATACTTAGTATTTGTTTATGTGTTGTTTCCTAGTTATGGGTAGAACAATCATGTCTATGGTGGCAAAACAGAGGCTAGAAAGTGTGTTTAAACTGTAAGTTAACTGCTACAATAACCAGGATTGGTCTTCTCACACAATTCTCTAAACTTTTGTTAAAAGACACAAATGCTGTTTGAATGAGAACTGAACAAATTCCAAGGATACTTGTAAAATTTTTATTTTATGTATTTACTCTATTATTTACCATTGAAGATATTAAAGAAGTCACTTACTGCATTCTTGTTGCAATCCTCTATTTTCAAATAGAATGTTTAAAAAACATTTCATTAAGAATGTGACTTTCACACGCCACTAGCCAAGCAAGTGAAAAAAGAGTTCGACAAATGGGACTATCTTAAATTAAGAAGCTTCTGCACCTCCAAAGAATCAGTGACCAAAATACAAAGACAGTCTACAGAATGGGAAAGGATATTCGCCGAATACACATCCGACAAGGGGTTGATATCAAAGAGAAAATATCCAACCCCATTTTAAAAATGGGTGACAAAAATGAACAGAAACTTTCTCAAAGAAGAAATCCAAATGGCTAAAAGGCACATGAGAAAATGCTCCACATCATTAATCATCAGGGAGATGCAGATAAAAACCACAATGAGATATGATTTCACACCACAGAGACTGGCCCACATCCACAAGAACAAAAGCAACCAGTGCTGGCGCAGATATGGCGAGAAAGGGACCCTCCTTCACTGCTGGTGGAAATGCCCACTGGTTCAGCTCTTTTGGAAAACAGTATGGACGATTCTCAAAAAATTAGAAATTGAGCTCCCATTTGACCCAGCAATATCACTCCTGGGAATATATCCCAGAGAGGCAAAAAAGTATAGTCGAAGTGACATCTGCACTTGTTTGTTCATTGCAGTACTCTTTACAATAGCCAGAATCTGGAAAAAACCCGAGTGCCCGAGAACAGATGACTGGTTAAAGAAACTTTGATACATTTACACAATGGAGTACTATGTAGCTGTCAGAAAAGAGGAAGTCATGAAATTTACATACAAATGGTACTACATGGAAAGTATCATGTTAAGCAAAATGAGTCAGAAAGAGAGGGATAGACACAGAAAGATTGCATTCATCTGGGGAACATAAAGTAACAAAATAGAACACAAACACCCAAGAATGGCTGAGATTAGTACCAGGAATTTTGCTCTATGGCTTGGAGGCCAGTCACACATACGAGAGGAAAAGAGAGCTCAGACAGAGAAGGGAGCACCAAATAAAGGTGTTGGGAGGATCCTCCCAAGAAGGGAGAAGCATGCTGGAAGTAGACTATAGACCAAACATGATTGCCACTCATTGCCTCTTTTGCAAACCACAACACCCAAAAGGAGAGAGAGAACAAAAGGGAATGCCCTGCCACAGAGACAGGATGGAATGGGGGGTCTGGGGGGTGGGAGGGAGACTGGGATCCGTGGTGGTAGGAAATGAGCAGTGGTGGAGGGATGGGTATTTGATCATTGTATAATTGAAACCTAAGCACAAAAATTTATAAGTCTACAACTGTACCTCATGGTGTCTCACTAACAAAAATTAAAAAAAAAAATAAAATCAAAAAGAATAAATAACATGGAAAAAAAAAGAATGTGACTTTCAAAAAAAGGACTATACAAAATAACCAGCAAGGAAAACGCTCCAAACACCACAGCTAAAGCTAACTTAGGTTAAGTGCTTCCCACCCCAACCCATGTTTAGTGCTTCTTGCAGTCCCAGCACAAATACATCTTATGAGAGATGGCCACATGATTGGTGCACCTTTTCTCCATAAAACCAACTGCCAAGCCAAAATATTTTTTTTTTATTGAGACATCACCCATTGGGCTTGAGGAACCAGGTAATGCTGAGAATCAAACCTGAGCTCACTGCTGCAAAGCACGCACTCTAGCCCATGGAGCTGACTCTCTTGATCCACGTCTTGTTTTCAGTATCAAGGATTAGAAACCAGGACACTTTCGAAAGTAAAAGGGAGAGCTTCTGTTAATTACACTCCTATCAATAAGAATGACCACCCAACCAGAATGTAGCTCAGCAGCAGAGAGCACCTGCATGTGTGAGGCCCTAAGAGTGTTCCATGACACACCACTCTACATTTACAACCCTCCTTATATGTTTTAATTAAATATGTAATTCATAGGGCAATATATATTTTATATATGTGAAATTTCACAGTTAGTTAAGAAAATGGGAATATATGCTGAGCTAAGAAATGCGATGACTCACTTAAGGAAGAAAGGGTGATTCTCGTGACAAAGATCAGATTCCTGTAACAAAGATCAGATGTTCTGTAACTGTTTGCCCTCCATCTAGATAGGTTTTTTGAATTGCAAGGTGGTTTCTGGTAAAAAAAAAAAAACCTAATTATGAGTATGAACTATGGTTTTCATTCTTTAGGAAGTTAAGGGAATGATATAGTTGTTCATAAGTCCACAGGACTTCAACTGATATTAGCTTGAAATAACCCGTATGCCATTGTGAGAGCTCTTGGAAAGTCTGTCTAACATCTTGGGGAAGTCTATCCTTAAACTGCAACAACTGATTATAATTTATAACAAATACTAACTTTTTAAACAACAGCTACACAATGATATATGCTCTATATTACAATTATGTGAGAAAACATTAAAGATATTATTTATGAGTCAGAGACGGACTGACATAGAATGACTGCTCTCATTATTGGAATATAAAATAACATAATATGAGACTGAAACCCAAGGACACTAGACACAAGGGCCAAGAATACTGCTCCATAGTTGGAAGCCAGCCTCATCAGCTGGGGGAGAAGGCAGCGGGATTAAAGAAGAGATCACTAAGTCATGATGGTTGGAGGGATCGTTCAGGACGGGAGATGTGTGCTGAAAATAGATAAAGGAACAAACATGATAGCCTCCATCTATATTGCAAATATGTCCAAATTTAATGTCCAAATAATGTCCAAATTTAAAGAGAGCCCTTGAAAAAACTGCCATAAAGGCAGGGGTTAGGATGGGGGGATACTGGAGACATTGGTGGTGGAAAATGTGCACTGGTGGAGGCATGGGTGTTTGATCACTGTATGACTGAAGCTCAAGTTTTGTAACTGTATCTCACAGTGATTCCATTAAAAATAAATGAATAAAAATAAAACACTGGATGTATACAAAGTATAATTTGTAAAAATGGTTAAGCTACATAAAAATACTGTAGCACTGTAGCACTATTGTCCCACTGTTCATGGATTTGCTACAGTGGGGACCAGTAACATCTCCATTGTGAGACTTGTTACTGTTTTTGGAATATAGAATAAGCCATGGGTCACTTGCCAGGCTCTGCCAGCAGGCGGGATACTCTCAGTAGCTTGCCAGGCTCTCCAGGAGGGATGGAGGAATCAAACCCAGGTCAGTCGCGTGCAAGGCATACTCCCTACCCGCTGTGCTATCACTCCAGCCAAATAAAAATAGAAGCACTGAAAAAATTATTTATAAATGCTGACCATATATTTGCATTTTTCTCCATTTATTATATTGAAATAGCTTCAAGAAAAGGGCCAAGGACAAAGAGGACTGGAAGCCAGCCAAAACGACTAGTAAATAATTTAAAAATAGTGAAGTGCTCTATGGTTTAAGATATCAAGAGAAACAGCACTCACCAGAATTCCAGAAAGAAAAGAGAAATGGCCAGAGAGAGAGAGAGAGAGTATAGCAGGTAAGCCTTGCATGGAGCAGACCTAGATTTGATGCCTGGCACCCCATATGCCACTTCCCCCAGCATTGCCAGCAAAAACTCTTAAGTACAGAGCCAGGAGTAAGCCCTGAGTACTCACGGTTGGGTGTGGCCGGGGTGGGGGGGGGAGGAGCAAGATAATTTTTATTTGAAGAAATAACAGCCAATAATTTCCTTGACCGAAGAAAGGAGTCAGACACTCTGACCCAGGAAACTAAAAAAATTCAAGCAAAATAACCCCAAACAAATGCACATCATATATACTATAATCAACATTTTTTAAAAAAGGAAAATTAAGAACAAAGAATCACACATATGGGACCCACCCCCCACCACCACCTCCCTGCCCTCCACCCATGAGACTGCCACAGCACAGCAGGTAGGGCATTTGCCTTGCACGCAGCCAACCCAGGTTCAATTCCCAGCTTCCCATATGGTCCCCAGAGCACTGCCAGGAGTAATTCCTGAGTGCATGAGCCAGGAGTAACCCCTGTGCATTGCCAAGTATGACCCAAAAAGCAAAAGCAAAAAAAAAAACCTGCCAGCAGATTTCTCTGTAGAAACTCTACAAAGGAACTAGCATTAACATAACAAATACAAAATGTTAACTGGAAAAAATGTCTAACCAAGAACATGTGCCCAGCAAGGCTATCATTCAGTGAAGGAGAAGTGAGGAACTTTTCAAATAAAGGAATTCACCATCACTAGACTAGCCCTCTAGGAAAACTTTTAAAAGACTTCTATAAGAGGAAAAAAAATCCCACTTGAAAATAGTAAGGTACCTAAGAAAGACATAAAATAGAGGAAAGGAAAATAATAATGGGGATTCTATTCTCAAGAGTACTGCTTCTTCCCCATTTATCTTCCTTGCTCGAGCGGGCCCAGTAACGTCTCCATTGGAGACTTTGTTGTTACTGTGTCTGGCATATCGAATACTCTCGGTAGCTTGCCGGGCTCTCTGAGAGGGGCGGAGGAATCGAACTCGGGTTGGCCATGTTGGCTGCGTGCAAGGCAGACGCCCTACCCGCTGTGCTATCGCTCCAGCCCTTAAGTTTAGAAAATTTAAATTTTAGATTTTCAGTTCCAAACTTTATATTTGATTCCTTTATCACAATCTCATTTCTCTCATGAAATTTCACATATATACATATTTACATGTATATATTACATATATACATATAAATACCATGCTTATTTTTTTTCTTTCTGTGATACAAATTTTTTTTTAATTTTTATTAGTGAAACACCATGAGGTACAGTTGTAGACTTACAAATTTTTGTGCTTGGGTTTCAGTTATACAATGATCAAACTTCCATCCCTCTACCAGTGCCCATTTTCCACCACTACGGGTCCCAATATCCCTCCCATCCCTCATCCCCCTCATCCCACCCTGCCTCTATGGCAGGGCATTCCCTTTTGTTCTCTCTCTCCTTTTGGGTGTTGTAATACTTTTCATTTAGTACTGGTGTTTTGGTTTTTTGTGGGGAATGTCCATAACTGACAGTGCTCTGGGCCTTCTCCATACATATAAGTTTACTGTAAGGTAAAGGTAAAGGTAAAGGCCCTCCCGTTGATCGTCGATTTGCTCGAGCGGGCCCAGTAACGTCTCCATTGGAGACTTTGTTGTTACTGTGTTTGGCATATCGAATACTCTCGGTAGCTTGCCGGGCTCTCCGAGAGGGGCCGAGGAATCGAACTCGGGTCGGCCATGTTGGCCGCGTGTAAGGCGAACGCCCTACCGCTGTGCTATCGCTCCAGCCCAGGGTTTACTGTAATATTTAAGTAAATGTAATTTCCTTGAAGAGGAGCCAAAAGAGGAAAAACTGGATAATTTTCGCCTTATTACACAATATGAAAGTTTCCAATTTTGTTTGTTTTGGCCACACCCTGTGGTGTTCAGGGCTTCCCCCAGGCTCTGTGCTCAAGAATCACTCCTGGTGGGACCAAACCCAAATTTGCTTCATACAAGGCCAAGCACCCTACCCATCTACCCACTATACTATAGCACCAGTCCCAAGTTTCTTATGATGGGTCGGGGGGCTTGATTCTTCAGCTTTTGGTTTTTGTGCCACACCCTGCAGCGTGGGGTTACTCTTTTTTTTAATTAATGAAACATCATGAGGTACAGTTGTAGACTTACAAATTTTTGTGCTTGGGTTTCAATTATACAATGATCAAATACCCTTCCCTCACCAGTAGCCATTTTCCACCACCACAGGTCCCAGTATCCCTCCCACCCCCCATTCCCTTTTGTTCTCTCTCTCCTTTTCGGTGGGGTTACTCTTTGCTCTGCACTCAGGAATTACCTCTGGCCATGCTCTGGGAAACACATGGGGTGCTAGGTGGGGGCTGAAAGTTTGGCAGTGTGCAAGCAAAGCACCCTACTCATTGTACATCACTCCAGTTCCCAAATTCCCAGTTTGAACAATTACATATACTACATCAGACTCCCTTCACTCTACTGGGTATATTGTAGGGATATTCCCAACGCATAAAGGACTGCAAACCATAATGCCCAAGAGGAGAGCGAGACAGACACTGAGACAGAGAAAGAGAAGAAAAGTGCCTTTCACAGAGGCAGGCTGGGGAGTGGGGGGGAGGAGGGGCATTGGCAGGAGGGAACCTAGTGTCATTGGTGGTGGGAAATGTACACCTGCGGAGGGATGGATGTTGGAACAGTTTTATGACTGAAACTTGATCTTGCAACAGCTTTGTAACCTCAAGGTGACTCAGTAAAAAAATAAATACAATTTAAAAATAAAGGATCAATGCCGGCTATTCTATTACTGGATCTGCTACTATGTATTTTTTTTTGTTTTTGTTTTCTTGTCACATTAAAAATAACCAAAGTACAATCCAAACTACCGAAAGAGAAAGGGATGAAATAAAGTAAGTGAAGAGAAATAGAAAGTGACAGTAACTTCCACAAACTGTCTTAAAACTTAGAGTCCCTGCCATGCTCTCTGAGCATCCTGAATTGCAACGCCACTCACAGAAGCAAAGAACTTCTGGAGGATTTGGGCGTGGGAAGGGTGGGCAGGCGGAGTGGGGGGTTGTCTCCTTTCTTCACAGCCCCTCCGACAAATGCACCTCACAAAACTCATGCCCTCTGCAGGTGCCCGTGAAACATTCCATCCTCCAGTTCCCACAAGTGTAACAAGTCCGTGCACCCTAGCGAACACTTCTTATATAGTTGCATGCTGTGTGAACCCCGAATCACCCGCAGAAGAACACCATGTCGCTCTTAGGCACGCTGTTCATCACCAGGAAAAACCAAAATTCATCTTTGCAAAACCCAACCCCTAGCTCCCTAAATTCAGTTTATGATGTACGTTGATTTAAAAAGGAAGGAAGGAAGGAAGGAAGGAAGGAAGGAAGGAAGGAAGGAAGGAAATTAACCCCTAGCTCCCTAAATTCACTTTATGATGTTGATTTAAAAAAGGAAGGAAGACTCAATGCCTCTTTTGCAAACCACAGCACTCAAAAGGAGAGAGAGGGAAATTCCCTGCCATAGAGGCAGGGTGGGATGGGGGATGGGGGGGTGGGAGGGATACTGGGATCCATGGTGGTGGGAAATGGGCACTGGTGGAGGAATGGGTGTTTGATCATTGTATAATTGAAACCCAAGCACAAAAGTGTGTAAGTCTGGAAAAAAAATAATAATGTTTTTTAGTGGAGAAAAAAAATAAAATAAAATAAACAGATATTGATTTATAACCTGATCTATGATGCAATGAAACAGATATTGATTTATAACCTGATCTATGATGCAATGTTATCAACAAAATAAACAATAGAATTGCAAGATAATGGGGAAAAAAAGGAAGGAAGGAAGAAATAGAAGAAATTAACCCCTAGTTCCCTAAATTCAGTTTATGATGTATGTTGATTTAAAAAGGAAGGAAGAAAACGAGAGAGAGAAAGAAAGAAAGAGAAAGAAGGAAAGAGTAAGAGAAGAAATTAACCCCTAGTTCCCTAAATTCAGCTTATGATGTATGTTGATTTAAAAAGGAAGGAAGGAAGGAAGGAAGGAAGGAAGGAAGGAAGGAAGGAAGGAAGAAAGAAAGAAAGAAAGAAAGAGAAAGAAAATGAGAAGAAATTAACCCCTAGCTCCCTAAATTCAGTTTATGATGTATGTTGATTTAAAAAAGGAAGGAAGGAAGGAAGAAAGAGAATTACAAGGAAGGAAGGAAGGAAGGAAGGAAGGAAGGAAGGAAGGAAGGAAGGAAAGAAGGAAAGAGAAAGAAGGAAAGAGAGACAAAGAAAGAAATAGAAGAAATTAATTCCGAGCCCAAGTACGGATTTGGCGCCAAGTTTTTTTTTGGGGGGGTGGGGGGGCGAGGAAAGCCTTTTTCTAAGGAAAATGACTGAGGAGTCTCCACTTTTTTTTCTTTTTAAGGAGGTCATTTACCAACCTGGATAGAAAAGTCCCCCCCGAGTCAGAGGACGGCGGGTCCCAGGCTGCACGTAGGTGACTGAGATGCTTTTCCCAGCCCCTCTGGGTTCTGCCGCCCACGGGATCCGTGTGGGCGCGGATGAACTGTGAGTCCCCGGGTCAGCGCAAGGCTCCGAGCGCAGAAACAAAAGTGAAACCTGGAGGGGGGAGGAGGCGGGGTCCGTGCCCCCCCCCACCACCCCAGACGAGCGGCACGCGCGGCGCTCGGGCGCGCCAGGCGTCCTGCGAGACCGCGTCCCGCTCTGAGGCGCCGAGGGGAGGGAGTGGGCGTGAGGGTCGCGCCGCTCAGTCCCCGAGGCCGCGGCGCTTCTCGGCCCGCGACGGGGCGGCCCCGGCTCACCGGCTCCGGAGCGCTGCGAGGCGGCGCTGCTGCTGGCGGGCGGCGGCGCGGCGGCGGCGGCGGGGCAGGCGGGGCAGGCGGCGCGGGCGTGGGCACGAGCGGCCACGCTCGGGAGCCCCGGGCCGGGCGCGAGGCAGAGGCGGAGGCGGGGCCCGGGGTGCGCGGCGGGAGCCCGGAGCGCGGCGACCCGACCGGCCGCGGCGGCGCCGAAGGCCCGGAGCTGCCCCAGGCGCGGGAGCTGCAGGCCCATACCTGGCGCCCGGAAGCTACCGAGGGAACCGACCCGACTCCCCCCCGACCCCCTGTGACAGACGCGGACTCGGCCGAGCGACCCCGCGCGCCCCGAGCGGGGAGGGCGGAGGAGTAAGCGCGGGCCCGCGTCCGCCGCGCCCCAGCCCCGAGGTCTCCCGAGGGTATTTCCGGTGACGCGACCTTTCTCACGCTTTGCGCGGGGTTGGGGGGGCCGGAGGGGGGGAAGGCTGGGAACCAGGCTGGAAGCGTTCCCTGACCCGGGTCTCCTGAGGATCCCCGGGGTTTAGTTTTTTGTAAGGGAGCTTTCAAAACACGGCGTTCTCATTACGGAACACAGAGATGTACAAGAAGGAGGCCTTGTCCGTCTGTGTAATTAGATGTTATTTGTTTAAAGTTTAAAAAAAAATGAAAGCAAAACTGTAGCCAAGTCTAGAATTTTTAACAATCCGGTTTTTTTTTTTTTTGGTTTTTTTTTTTTTTGTTTTTGTTTTTGTTTTTTTTTGGCCTGGAAATGGAAAACAGCTTACTGGGTTTCGGCAGATTAAAGCATTCCTTTTGATGTGTAAGACTAACAAAAACTTTCACCCTGGAATTCTAGTGCATGTTTTAAGTGCAAGGAAACCATGCAGTAAGAAAATTAGGTACCTCAACAAGTTACACGCACATCATAAATAATTGGGAAATAGAGACAATCGGTCTTTTTTTTTTTTTTGATTATTTTCTTGTTGAGGTATCGTAGTTTACAGTGATATAAAAATGATTCCTTTTAACTTCAGAGCACTACACCAATCCCCCTACCAGTGATTCAGATCCCTCCACCTTTATCCCACCTCCTTTCTCCTTCCCTCCCTTACCCCCACAGTTCCAGAGTCTATTAATCATGTCTCAGGATTTGTTTTCATGAGATATAAAACAACCAGTCTTAGCTATAAGAGTTGACATCAAGACCTGACTCTGCCTGCAAATCAAGGGCCCATCTCCATGGCAGATTCTCCAACAGACACGACCACTGTGCTGTTCCAGGAAGCCCTAGTCACTGGCCCAGATCTCTTCTCAGATGACACAGGCCAAGTCTCTTGCCCTGTTGGAAGGCCCAGTATTACAGTCACACCCCACATCCCCCATGTAAATGGCCCCGGGGGAGGTACCACGGTGCCAAGTCATCCCAGTTCCATGGATCCTGGAGCTCAACATCTCCAAATTTCACAGTACAACATTCCAGTAGAAGCACAGCAAACTAAATGGGCAAATTGCATAGAAGCCCATTTTAGCTCAGTGACTGAAAAGAGTAACCAGAAAGGCTCTGTTAGCACCCAATAGCTAAGTAAATACTTAAAGAGTTAAGTAACACCATCAAGCAATATAAAGTAAATTATTTTGTGCTTGCTAAGTGGGTAAGCTTGGAGGGCGAGGGGATCGAGGGACATTGGTGGAGGGAAGATCACACTGGTGGTGAGATTGGTGTTGAAATATTGAATACCTGAAATGACTGTATTATGGGTGATTTTGTAAATCATGGTATTTAAAGTTTCAAACATTGAGAACAAAGTTGATTTGAAAAGAGTTGGTTTTAAATAACAATGAGATATCATCTCATGCCACAGAGACTGATACACATCAAAAAGAACAAGAACAACCAGTGCTGGTGCGGAAGTGGGGAGAAAGGGACTCTTTCCTTGTTAGTGAAACTGCCCACTGGTCAAGTCTCTTTGGAAAACAATATGGGCATTTCTTCAAAAACTAGAAATTTAGCTTCCATGTGACCCCACAATACCACTTCTGGAAGTACATCCCAAGGGTGCAAAAAAGCACAGTAGAAATGACATCTGCACTTGTATGTTCACTGTAGCACTGTTCACAAGAGCCAGCATGTGGAAACAACCCAAGTGCTCAAGAACAGATGACTGGTTAAAGAAACTTTGGTACATCTACACAATGGAATACTATGCAGATGTAAGGAAAAATGAAATCATGAAATTTGCTCATAAGTGGATGGACATGAAGAGTTTCATGCTAAGCGAAATGAGTCAAAAAGAGAGGGACAGAGATAGAAGGACTGCTCTCATTTGTGGAATATAAAATAACATAATATGAGACTGACAACCAAGGACAGTAGAGACAGGACCAGGAATATTGCTCCATGGTTGGAAGCCTGCTTTATGAGCTGGGGGAGAAGGCAGCTATGATAGAGAAGGGATCACTAAGTAAATGATGGTTGGAGGATCACTCAGGATGGGAGATGTGTGCTAAAAGTAGATAAAGGACCAAACATGATGGCCTCTCATTTGTATTGCAAATCATAATGCCATAAATAGAGAGTAAGAGGGAAACTACTGCCATAGAAGCAGGGGGAAGGTTAGGATGGGGAATGTGAAGGGGATACTGGGGACACTACTGATGGAAGATGTACATTGGTGGAAGGATGGGTGTTCTATCATTGTATGACTGAAACTCATACAAAAGCTTTGTAAGTGTAGCAGTGTTTCAAAAATAATTGACACACATACATACCAAAGAAAAGAGTTTGTTTTAAAATCATTCTAACAAGTTGAGTGATAGCAGTTATGGCCTGATTATAGAGTTGAAACTTGTTCTCAAGCATATACACCATCCTGCAGTTTGTGAGTGGATAGCATATTTTTCTTAACTCACTGACCATTGAGATGATCTAGGAAAAAACTGTGGAAAAAGACAACTAGCTTAGAGACTGACACCTAAGAATAGTAGATACACAGGACAGGTAGATTTCTCCATAGCTGGAAGCCTGCCTCATGAGCTAAGGGGAGAAGGCAGCTGGAATAGAGAAGGGATCACTAAGAAAATGATGGCTTGAGGAACCAGTCGGGATGGGAGATATGTGCAGAAAGTAGATAAAGGACCAAGCATGATAACCTCTCGGTGTCTGTATTGCAAACCATAGTGCCCAAAATAGAGAGAGAGAAAATGGGGAATATTGTCTGTCATGGACGCAGGGGGAGGGTGGGAAAAGGGGGGTATACCGGGAACATTGGTGGTGGAGAATGTGCAGTGGTGGAGGGATGGGTGATTGATCATTGTGATTGTAACGGAAACATGAAAGCTTGTAACTATCTCACGATGATTCAGTAAAATTTTTAAAAGCAGGGGGGAAAAGACGACTAGCTTAATTGTTCATTTCAAAGGACTGGGAGGCTGAGGCACTCCTTGCAAAGGTAATCAGCCATACCCAAGAGGCTCTGGAGGATCAACTGTGGCTGTTCTGCCACATAGTGCCCAAAACTGCTTCAGACACACCCCTGCTGTACCATTAGAGCTGAGCAAGATATTCATCCTGTGCCTCTGCTCCCCAAATCCCTAGAATTGGTCACTCTTCTCCCTTTCTCGGATAAGCTTAAATTATTTTATGTCCATTTTATTATTTCTACATGATTGACTCAGAACATTTCATAGTGATCCAAATTATTATATGTATTTATTTTCTATGTGATTGACTTAGACACTTGTTACTGTGTTCGGCATATCGAATATGTCACGGATAGCTTGCCAGGCTGCCAAAATTTCAGGTATACAAGTTTTTGGTGGCTGAAAACTCTAGACCTTCTTGGAGCCAGGGTGGGCAACCTCCCCCCAAACCACCTGAACTTTCAGAAGCTCCAACAGTTAACATTCACATTCCACTGCAGCTGTCATGTAAGCTCACTGTCCACTTATATATTCTGGATTTTCTAGAGTGGACAGCTCTAACATGGCCAAACTCTATACTACTAAGATCCCAACAGGAACACATCAGATTGGATGGGAATTTAAGGTAACAAAGAAATCAAGTAAGCTCAATTAGTTAAAAACATTAACACAGAAGGTTCATCTAGCAACCTCAGATGAACTTAGTAAACCCTCAGACAAGGACTCAATGTGTCCATGGTGTGATATAAGAATTTACACACAGATTTTCTTTTTTTTTTTTCCTTTTTTTTATTAGTGAAAAACCATGAGGTACAGTTATAGGCTTACAAATTTTGTGCTTGGGTTTCAGTTATACAATGATCAAGTCCCCATCCCTCCACCAGTGCCCGTCATCCATCCCCATGGGTCCCAGCATCCCCCCCACCCTCATCCCCCCCCCCCCCGTCCCATCCTGCCTCTGTGGCAGGGTATTCCCCCTTGTTCTCTCTCTCTTCTTTTGGGTACTGTGTTTTGCAAGAGAGGCTTTGAGTGGCAATCATGTTTGGTCTATCGACTACTTTTAGCATGCTTCTCCCACCCTGGGAGGGCCCTCACAACACCCTTCATTTGGTACTCTCTTCTCTATCTGAGCTTCCTTTTCACCTAGAGCCTGTGGCTGGCCTTCCATTCATGGAGCAAAATTCTTGGTACTAATCTCAGCCATTCCTGTGTGTCACTCTCCCTTTTTGTTGCTTTATGTTCCCCAGATGAATGCAATCTTTCTGTGTCTATCCCGCTCTTTCTGACTCATTTCGCTTAACATGATACTTTCCATGTAGTACCACTTGTATGTAAATTTCATAACTTCATCTTTTCTAACAGCTACATAGTACTCCATACACACAGATTTTCTTTTACTGAAGTAATTTTTGATAATTCTATTAGTCATTTAGTGGTACCGAGCAAAATTACTTTGAGCCTGCTATGTGGGCAGGCTTGAAAGGAGGTTAGGAAAATCAGGGCAATGGTGGAGGGAAGATCACAGTGTGGTTGGGGTTGTAATATTGAATCTTGTAACAAATGCATCATGAACAACTTTGTAAACCACGGTGTTTAAATAAACTGAAAAAATATGCATAATAGCACACCACAGCTCCAGACCTGCTTGCTCCTCTGCCACTCCAGGTAAAGCCTGCCTCCAGCTGGCTCCA